AAGTCTTGACCATTTCGTCGACGGACCCCCCTCCCCCCGTAGAATCCTACAACCTGGCATCCGCCTGTCGCGGAGTAGGCTTCGGATCCCGCCCACACCGCTTCTCCTGAGCATTACAGATTTATTACGGTGTCCAGACTTACTCCGCACGTTTTTTACGTGGATTAACTTACTCCGCGTTCTTGTTGAACTTACTCCGCGCTGTGCTTTAGCTGAAGAAAACATGCTACGCGTCCTCGGAAACTTAATCCGCCTGTGTTTTACGAGGGTGAGCGGCTTCAGGTCTGCATGGGCATATGTCCGTCGTTCAGTTTTGCCCGAGGGCGCGCTGGCCGCAGGTCTGGCCTTGGGATTTGCAAGAATGGTCAAAAACTGTCGTAACGGCAGAGTATGGTTTCTTGATGCGTGCCCCCACTGTACGCTGGGGGAGCGAGCCCACCCTTTCCTGGCTGGGGCTGGGACGGCTCTGACGATGATGGCCTCTGTCTCGCCGCGGCGTTTCCGTCCCATGCCGACTGCGGCCACGGAGCGAGCGCATCCGCGCTGGCAGCGCAAACCTGTGGAGTGGGCTTCGGGCTGTGCACAGCTGCGCTGCGTTGTCCAAGCTGCGATGTACGGTCAATAAGCACCCAGAATATAATCACGTAACCACTGCGACCTGCCCCCTCTCTGCCCGGTCCCGTCTACGCACATCACCCCCCAAGCAAGCAGTTCGATCGAGTCAACGCTCGGCTCAGTCGAGCGAAACTGGGCAAAGTTTCAAGCATCACTGCTGGTGCCCGAGGGATACACGCACAAAAGCGTCCTCGCACTGAGGAAAATCATCGGGTACTGTGCACACATGCTTCATGCCAATCGACTTGCAAGTGGGCGTGTGAATATTGGCACAAAAGATCATCCCATCTCACAGCGTCTCCCCCCGTCCACAAAAACGCCTGGAAGCCGTCCCCCCTGAGTGACCTGCGATTCCTGCTCTGCTCTCCTACTGATCTTCGCCGACACCAACGCGCCAACGCCACGACCTCTCGCAAATCCCACCAACCCTCTGGGCGTAGGTGGTTTAACGAGTGTTGTCTTCTCTCCCCATCGTTCCCCTGCTCGGAGGTGGGGTTTACCCCTCTACATTTACGCAATATGGATACTCCTCTCATCTCCCCTGATGACGTCCAGAAGATGTCCGGCCCCCCTCCGCGTACCGTCTTTTTTCCCAACCATCCTGTGGTGTTGGGTCCTCGTTTTGAAGAGACGGTCCCCGCGTTCTCCTCCTCCTCCTCCTTCTCCTCCTCCCTCCTCCCTCCTCCATCACCATCACCATCACCATCACCATCCCCATCATCATCACCATCATCATCACCATCATCATCGTCACCATCATTTTCACCATCATCATCACCATCATCATCGTCATCATCATCATCATCCTCATCAGCATCATCATCATCATCATCATCATCATCATCATCATCATCATCATCATCATCATCATCATCATCATCATCATCATCATCATCATCATCATCATCACCCGTTTCAGCACACCCCTCACACGTTTCGTGGCCCCATAGGGAGTCCCACCGAAGGTCCCAGTGCTACCGTCCGCACGCGTCCCCCCCACCCAGTACGGCGCTTCGTGGCCCCATAGGGAGCCCTATAGAAGGTCACAGTGCTACCGTCCGCATGAGTCCCCCCCACCCAGTACAACGCTTCGTGGCCCCATAGGGAGCCCCACCAAAGGTCCCACCGCTACCGTCCGCATGCGTCCCGCACATCCAGTGCAGCGCTTCGAAGCCCCATAGGGAGCTCCACCGAAGCCCCCAGTAGGACCGTCCGCATGCGTCCCGAAAACCCAACTTGGCACTATCACCCACCCAGTACAACGTTTGGTGGCCCCATAGGGAGCTCCACCGAAGCCCCAAGTGGGACCGTCCGCATGCGTCCCGAAAACCCAATTTGGCACTACCACCCACCGTGGCCCCATAGGGAGCTCCACCGAAGCCCCCAGTGGGACCGTCCGCATGAACTGGGCATTCTCACCCACACACTAATGCGTTTCGTGGCCCCGTTGGGAGCTCCACCGACGGCCCTAGTGCTACTGCCCGCATGCGTTCCCCCCATCCAGTGCAGCGCTTCGTGGCCCCATAGGGAGCTTCACCAAAGAAGATATTCACAGTTGCGGCACCCACAACTGCATGTGGTCGGGTCCTTCGCCAGGATGATTTCACACAGGATTCCCAGGAAATGGGTTTGCGCTTGGGCTGTTTTTCAAAATGTTGCTCCCGCTGAAACGCTGGCCCCATTTCTGCGCCTCGGGTGATTCCAAATCCGCCGACCCATTGGGGATCATCGGCGTGTGAGATGCTCCCCCCTCCCCAAACCCCTCCCCCGGGAGCCCGGTCCGGTCGATTTGGAGGGGGGGGTGCCCCCGACGAGCGATTCACTGGCTCTTCTGGGCCCAAGAAGGCCTAAAGATGGGCCAGGAAGGCCACAAGAGGCCTCCAAGACGGCCCACGAGGGCCCCGAGACGCCAAACCAGCGCTCCAAGACGCCCAAGATGACCCCAAGACGGGCCAAGAGGCCTCGAAGACGGCCCAAGAGGTCCCAAACAAGCCTCCCAGGAGGGCCCCGAAAGGCTAAAATTGTTGAGTTTCCATTGTGTTTTTCTATGTTTGTTGTCGTTTCGCCTTTTCGGCTTTCCGACGCTCCAAGAGGGCCCAAGAGGCCCCGAAGACAGCCCCAAGACGGCCCAAGAGGCCTACAAGACGGCCCCAAACCGGCCCAAGATGGCCCCAAGACGGCCCAAGAGGTCCCCAAGACGGCCCAAGAGGGCCCCAAGACGGCACCAAAACGGGCCCAAGAGGGCCACCAAAAATTCAAAACATCTAGCTTTCCGCCCCCAGGACTGAGACTACGATGGCTGGCTTTGCGTGTTACATACCATGATCTTATAATAATGCAGGGGTTTATGCCAAGTTTATGTCAACTCAGGAATGCCACAAAAAGCGTCCTCCGCAACGCATAACTTCGAAAGGATCCCAACATGTTCATTGCGCACGACAGTAGGCATGCACGAGTATCACCGTTGTTCTTCGCTCACCTCGACGAGATTATCCCGTGCGCGCTAAGATCTCGTCGGCATTTTCTCACGTGCGAAAGGATCTCGACCATGCGTTCGCTGGCACGCGGGGATCTCGACATCGATTGTCTGGCAGTCCCGCCAGCCCTTTCGGCAACAGACGGTCGAACGTCTAACAACGTCTTGCTTTCCCCCCCCCCCCTCCCTTTTTTTTGTCGGGGGGGGGGGTCGCAAGGTGTCAGGGGGTCCGTTTTCGCCCAAGATGGCTCCAAGAGGGCCTCCGAAGCTTCAAGATGGCCTCCAAGATGGCTCAAGGTAACGCAAGATAGCTAGATAGCTCAATATAACCTACGTCATGCCTCCAAGAGGCCCCAAGATGGCCACATGACTGTTTCAAGTGCTCTCGGAGACCCCTCAGGACCCCTCCAATATCCAAGAGGCCAAAATCTTCCAAAAACCGAAGGAACAATTATGATCCTCTTCCGACGCGCGTTTGAGGCGTCCAGATGGCCCCAAGATGGCCCAAGAATGCCCCAAGAGGAGCCCAAGAGGCCCTTAAGACCTCAAGACGGCCCCAAGACCCAAGACCTAAGAGCGCCGAAGAGCGCCCGAAGGCCCCAAGAGGCGGTGTTGATGGCCACACGGGGGGGGGGCGCAGATATGGGATATGGGAACAACATTTTTTGTTCGATGACCTCCCAGATGACCTCCAAGATGGCCCCAAGGTGCCTTCCATGGCCCCCAAGAGGGCCCCAAGAGAGCCACAATAATGCCCAAAGAGACCCCCCCCCCCAAGAGCGCCAAGAGGACCCCAAGACCCTCCAAAAGAGCTCCCCCACTTTGGTCCACTATACACTATATCTGTCCCTTCTTGCCAGTTTCCGTCAGCTCTCATGGGCAGTGCTTCTGATTGGGCTGGCGGCTGGCGGGGTTCCGCGGTTACGCGAAGGGGTGTGCCGAAATTCGTGCGGGGCCGCTACGCGGACGCTGCCATCGTCGTCGTCGCCGTCGTCGTCGCGTCGACGTCGTCGTCGTCGTCTTCGCTCCCTTGCGCTGCTTCAGGCGCCAAGGGGTCCCTCCAGGGGGCCGAAGACGACGACGACGACGACGGCAACGAAGGCGACGACGATGACGATGGCGACGGCGGCGGCGGCGGATCTCCTCCGTCTTCAACCCTCAACCCAAAGCTTCCTGTATGCTGTATGTATGTATGTATGTAGGTAGGTAGGTATGTAGTATATAGGGGGTGTAGGTATGTAGGTATGTAAGTATGTAGGTATGCAGGTATGTATACATGTATGCATACATGTATGTACATTTGTATGTATGCATGTATGCATACATGCATGTATGTATGTATGGATGTATGGCATGTATGGGTGTAGGTATGTATGTATGCATGCATGTGTGTATGTATGTGTGTATCTATGTGTGTATGTACGTATGCATGTATGCATGTATGCATGCATGCATGTATGTGTGTATGTATGGTTGTGTGTATGTATGTATGTATGTGTGCATGTATGTATGTATGTATGTATGTATGTATGTATGTGTGTATGGTTGTGTGTATGGTTGTATGTATGTGTGGATGTGTCCATGCATGCATGCATGCATTCATGCATGTGTGTATGTATGTATGTATGTATGTATGTAGGTATGTAGGTATGTAGATGTATGTATGTATGTATGTATGTATGTATGTATGTATGTATGTGTGTGTATGTATGTATGTATGTATGTATGTGTGTATAGCGTATAGCGTATTGCGTTCTCTCCCCACCTCCTACCTCCTACCTCCTACCTCCTACCTCCCTCCCTGCCTCCCTCCCTCCCCCCTCCCCCCCTCCCTCCTTTGTTATCTGCTCGTGCACGGCATGGAAACACAGGTACACAAATGAGTACGCGTGGGGCCGCGTGCCAAGGCCTCTCGCATCGAGCGCGCGATTGAGGAGCTGGCCACTATGCACGGCGGCGTTCAGCGCTGCTACCTCGGCCATTCTGCAATCGCGGTCGGGCCAGCTGCCGAGGACGATCATTGTCCGCCAGCGGCGGCAGTGCCCGGGCATGTACTCAGGGAGACAGGCGTCTCCGCGATAGCACCGCCCACCTCTCCACCTCCAGGACGGGTCCGATGTGCTGCCGATGTACGCCGCGCCGTCGCCGACCTCTGCAGCGCCCCGCAGGCCCGACGCCACTCGCTCCAGCAACGTTTCCGCCGAGACGTCCAGGCACGGCCTCAACACGATCACGGAGTCGTCCGTGACCCCGCCCAGCACCATCTCGGCCTCCTCCCGCGCGATGTCCCATCGCACGGACCTCCGAGGCGGTCGCGGGCACCACCCCTGGCCCCCGCGCCCGGCACGCCCAGGCGCTCTGGACCGCGTCAGCGGCAGCAGCTGCAGCGGCTGGATGCCCGCAGACGCAGCCGTCGCACTGGCCGTCGCAGCCCTCGCAGCGGTCGCAGTGGCTGTCGCCGCCGTCGCACTGGCCGTCGTAAGCGTCGCACTGGCCGTCGCACTGTCCGTCGCACTGTCGCACTGTCCGCACAGTCGCACTGGCCGTCGCACTGTCGCACTGTCTGCACTGGCCGTCGCACTGTCGCACTGGCCGTCGCACTGGCCGTCGCACTGGCCGTCGCACTGTCGCACTGCCCGCACTGTCCGCACTGTCGCAATGGCCGTCGCACTGTTGCACTGGCCGTCGCACTGTCGCACTGGCCGTCGCACTGTCGCAGCCGTCGCACTGTCCGCACTGGCCGTCGCACTGGCCGCACTTTCCGCACAGGCCGTCGCACTGTCCGCACTGGCCGTCGCACTGGACGCACAAGCCGCTGCACTGTCCGCGCTGGCCGTCGCACTGGCCGTCGCGGCGGTTGCAGCCGTCGCACTGGCCGTGGCGACAGGCGTCGTACTGGCCGTCGCAGCAGTCGCACTGTCCGCACTGGCCGTTGCACTGTCCGCGCTGGCCACCGCAGCTATCGCACTGGCCGCACTGGCCGTCGCACTGGCCGCTGCACTGGCGCGCGTCGCACTGTCGGCATTGGCCGTCGCAGCACTGGCCGTCCGCTGGCGCACCCGGCGACGCGCCCCGCTCCTCGCGGAGTCGTCGTCGCTCTCGCTGTCGCCCCACATGAGCGCCGCCAGGCGGCGGTACAGCTGACGGCCCCCTGGGCACTCGTGTTCAAAAGCCCACAGGCGCGCTGCCAGCCGATCCGCCCGCCGCCAGCTCTGCTCGCCCGAGCCGCCCAGCATCACTGGGCGCGGAGGGCATGCAGGGGGCGCGCGGGGCCATCCGCCATCCGCCATCCGTGACATCCGCGCCTGCCCGACGAACCGATCGCACGGTTGAGCCAAAATGGCTACGGATTAACGGCGTAAGCCGTAAGCCGTAAGCATGCGCACCTCGCGGGCGCCAGGGTGAGGATGCCAGACCCTCGCGCCTTAAGGTGCTCATGCCAGGTCGTTTCGGCGACCGACCTTACAGCGTTCAAGTCAGGATGCCAGGGTGCAAGAGTGAGCCCGCGAGCGTTCTTGCAGCTGTCTTGGAGGCCCCTGAGCGCTCTGGGAGCCGTCCTGGAGGACTCTGGGCTCTGGGCTCTGGGGCACCTCGTGGGGCCGTCACGGGGCCGTGTCGGGGAGCCTCTGGAGCCCGGAGCTTGTGGGCATAAGACGGCATCTTTTCGAATAGGCGAGGTTTTTGCGAGGTTTTGCTGGTTCTTTCCTCAGGCCTCAGGGGGCCCTCGAGGTAGCAGGTAGCCGGTAGCCTCTGAGAACGAATTCTGGACCTCGTGGAATTTTTTGGGGGGCGTCGTGGGTCGTGGGGGCGTGTCGATGCTCTTGGGCCGTTTGGGACCGTTGTAAATCGTAAATCGTGAACTCGTAAACTCGTAAACCGTAAACCGTAAACCGTAAACCGTCGGCTGACAAGGCCTGGGCCTTCCTCCCGAAGGAGGGCCAGGAACGGAGGGGGAGGAGGAGGGAGAGGAGGAAAGAGAGGGGAGACAGCGAGGCAGGAGGAGTACAAACCCCCAGCCCCCAGCCCCGGATGGCCGCCCAGATGGCCCAATATCCCCAAAGACGGACCCCGAACCCCAGACACCCGATGCACCCCGAGACCCAAGACGCTCCCATAACGGCCCAAAGACGCTCCCAGAGGCCCCTAGGTCCTAGGTAACGGCTAAAGGCTAAAGGCTAAAGGCTAAAGGCTGAAGGCCCGAACAGGCTCCCAAGGTAACCAGGTAACCCCGAGAAGCCAACATTGCGACAACAGAATCCACAAGCAATGCGCTCGTAGCTCGTAGCTCGTAGCACGTAGCACGTAGCACGTAGCAGCTTCGCACCTCGCCTTCACTTTTCACAGCCGATGGGCCTCCGAAGTGGACGGCATCCCGCGCCACACAACCTACAGAGCCGCACGAAGAGCTCTTGAGGCCCCCCGGACAGCTCCAAGAGCCCTCGGAATGTTCTCGAGAGCGCCCAGAGCCTAGACCCTAGACCCCTAGACCCTAGACTCTAGACATCGCATGCCTGTGCGACTCAGGGCGTGTCACTGTCGTCATCTATGACAATCACGACACCGTCGGTGGGCTTATTCTTGTTAGTCTTGCTCTTGTTCTCGTCGCGTAACTTTGGGAGCCACACCCCCGTCTGCCCATATCTCGGTGCCTGTTTGTTCACCCTCTTTTTTTGATGGTGATCGGTGCGTCCGGCGCGTTGAAAAGGTCGGCGGGCCTCATAGAGTTGAGGTCCTCCGAGCTCATTCCATCAATCCTACTCCTCCTCCTCCTCCTCTTCCTCCTCCTCCTCCTCTACTCTCTACTCTCTAGTCTCTACTCTCTACTCTCTACTCTCTACTCTCTACTCTCTACTCCTCCTCCTCCTCCGCCTCCCCCGCCTCCTCCTGTCCCATATCTCATATCTGTCATGCGCCTGCCCGCCTGCCCCAGTCCCGCGTCCTGGGCCGGGGCCCGTGACTTCGGGAGCGGCGTCTTGGGAGTCGTTTGCTCGAGATTCGGGCCGAAGAACCACCACGGCTCAGGGGCTTCAAACAAATCGAACTTTGGCGCGACGTCGTCGCCCATCCCCGCTGACGACGAGCACCCTGTTCAAATCGCGAGCTCGCCCCAGCTCGCCTGCCTAAAGCCTAAAGGCTTCGATCCGAAAAGGCAGGCAGGGTGGCAGAGAAATCAAGAAACGGATCGATACTTCAACGCACCCCTCTTCTCCCCTGTTCTTGGGTTCTTGGGTCCAACCCCCCTCCCCCCTCCTCCTCCTGGGCCTTCTGCTCCTGTTGCTCCTTATCCGAATCCCTTTATCCGAGTCCTCATCTTGTCTTACGTCTTACGTTACTAGGTACTAGGTACTAGGTACTAGACACTAGACACTAGACACTAGACACTAGACACTAGACACTAGACACTGGACACTAGACACTAGACTCTAGACACTAAACACCAAACACTAGACACTAGACACTAGACACTAGACACTAGACACTAGACACTAGACACTAGACACTAGACACTAGACACTAGCCACTAGCCACTAGCCATTAGCCACTATCCACTATCCACTATCCCCGACCCCCCCCCGCCCTATGACCTATGAGGATTTCGGTTTCTATTTCAGCCGTGGATCCCCATCTCGACTATCGACTGACTATCGCCTGAGGAGGTCCCGGCAACGAACGCTCAGAGAGTCTCAACACCTGCAACGCGCAGCGCCTCATCCCGATTCAAGGCATCGACGGGGAGGATGGGGGGGATCAGGAGGAGGAGAAGGAGGAGGAGGAGGAGGAAGAGGAGGGCGACCACCACCAGGGCGGACATGGGACATGGGGATGGGGGATGGGGGAAGGGTGGGAGGAGGAAGAGGAGGATGAGGAGGAGGAGGACATGGAGGAGGAGAAGGAGGAGGAGGACAGGGAGGAGGAGGAGGGGGGCAGAGTAGGGAGTAGGACTAGGGACTAGGGACTAGGGACTAGGGACTAAGGAATAGGAAATGGGAGGAAGAGACAGGGGAGGAGGAGGGGAAATAGAAGGGCGAGGAGGAGGAGGAGGGGGAGGGCCCTTCTCAAACCGCATTGCGGTACTCCCCCCGGTGGGAATCTAGAGTCTAGAGTCTCTTGCGCCCGCTACTACAAGATACAACAAACGAAGTATTTTCTCTTACATCGTGCCTCGTGGTACTCGCGTACTCTGACAGTGACGCGCTCGAGCCCTGCACACAATGCAAGCTGCACGGGCCGACGGCGTAAAAAAGTCCGCCACGTCCTCGAGGAGCGCCGAGCGCTGAGCGTCGAAGACTAGGGACTAGGGACTAGGGACTAGGGACTAGGGACTAGGGACTAGCTACTAGCTACTAGGATAGGGGATAGGGCCTAGGGCCTAGGGCCTAGGGCCTAGGGCCCGCCCAGGGCCTAGGGCCCAGGGCCTAAGGCCCAAGGCCTGAGGTGGGATACGGGATACGTGATACGTGATACGTAGGACGTAGGGCGTAGGGACGTTGGGCGCGGGGCGTGGGGCGGGCATCCGCTAGCCGCAAGCAAAGCGACGAGCGTCGAGGGCAACTCGGAAGCTTTTCGGAGGTGCTCTAAGGTCCGGCGGAGAGACGCAGAGCCGCAGAGGTTGCATGACGTGTGTATCTTGTATCTTCCTCTCCTTCTCCTCCTCCTGCTGTTCCTCCTCCTCCTGCTGTTCCTCCTCCTCCTCCTCCTCCTCCTACTCCTCCTCCCCCTCCCAAAACTTCATCCTAAGTCCTCCTCTCTCCCGCCACCTTCTGAGTCCTGCAGCCTTCCCGCTCCCTCCCCCTTCTCCCTCCCCCCCACCCTGGGCAATTCCCCCTCTCTTCCTCCTCCTCCTCCTCCTCCTCCTCCTCCTCCTCCTCCTCCTCCTCCTCCTCCTCCCTCCTCTCCCCTTCCTCCTTCCTCCTCCCGCTCCTACCCCCTACCCCCTACCCCCCTACCCCCTACCCCCTACCCCCTACCCCTGCTCCTGATTCCTCCTCCTCCTCCTCCTCCTCCTCCTCCTCCTCCTCCCTCCCCCTCCGCCTCTTCATCCTACCTCCTCGCCTCCAAACCTCATCCAACTCATTCGATAGCCACGCTAGCCGCTAGCCCGCTAGCTGGCCGAAACCCTTCTCACGTCACTGCACCGAGGACCTTGCCTTGGGCCCTAGGCCCTAGGCCATAGGCTCCCGGGCCCTAGGCCCTAGGCCCTAGGCCCCCTGGCCAGACTTGGACGCAACCTGCATCGCCTCGAACAGCCTGGCGTGCAGCAGCGTGTGAGGGGATTCCACCTTGAGGAGCTCTCTCTTCTGCTTGATCAACATGTCTCTGGTTTCCGGGGACTCTGGGCCGTGATCCTTCATTTTCTGGATGATCATAGCTTCGGCGATGGTGCTGCGGCCCTGCTTGATCAAACTGCCAAGCGCGTCGGTAAAGGCCTCGAGGTCCTTCAGGAAGGTGGCGTGCTTATCTGGCTTGAGCATATTGCCGTATTTTGTGTACGCTTTCTTGAGCTGCGCGTGCGACCCGGAGAGCTCCTTCCACTCAGACATAGCTGCATTGCCGTCTTCCGCCAGCAAGTTGTCTGGCTGAGAGGCGTGCTGGATGATATATTGCAAGCTGGCGTTACTGTCTAAGCCGTTCTTCCAATCGCCACCTCCCGAGATGCCACGCGCTATCTGGTTGAAGGCGTCCATCTTGGGCTTAGAACCAGTCTGGAGAAATTGGAGATACTCAGTGATGGCAGCGTCCTTCAGCTGCCAACCAAAACGCAAGACCTTTCGCACAATGTCGTCGAGCTTGTTGCCCTGGCCCTCCTCGTCGAGATCGGCGGGGAGTTGCTTGTCCAATAGGCGACTCAACGCGTCGAATGTGGCTCCCTTCTTCTTGTTGAAATCATGGTCGAGGCACTCCCCAGGTTTCTTGCTCTCGGACAAGGCCAGGAAACTGACGCCGGCTGTGTGGACCTCGGAAGCGCGGCGGAGCAACTTCAAGGAGCCCACCGTCGGGAAATCGCCCGGGACCTTGTCCTCGGGCAGGCTCTGGAGCAGTCCGGCCAAACAGTCGCACCAAGCATCTTGGGGCGCCTT